CAAGAAAAAATTTTTTAGTTTTAAAATAATTTTAATTTAACAGTTTTCAAAAAATTAACCTTCATTAAAAATTTTTTTTTTTTTTTTTTTTTTTTTGTTAATGACCACATGAGAGAGTCTTTTTATCAGTTATGATATAATCAGAGTCTGGAATGAGACTGAAAAAAATTATAAATTGTGCACAGAAATTGAAATGCAGTCACAGATTTGACCCCAAACAGAATAAGGGATTAAAAATGCTCTTTCAAAGTGGCTGGACGGGTCAGTCGTTGTTATCCAGAATAGCTTTCAAGAGAAAGAAATATTGAAGATGATTTGATTTGACCAGGATTAATATTTACTGTTACATATGCAAACATTGAACTTTACCCCTTAAAAATACAAACTAAAGGGACTAGAAGAAGACTCTCTGCAGATATTTGCATATAAAAGCACATCCTGAGAACCATTTAACATTAACTTATCTTCTAATGTCATGTCTTCAACCACATTCCACGTTTTTGGATGGTAATGTGTCTTTTTCTTTTCTTAGAAACTGTTGTGTTTCTCTGTATGAGAAGTGCCCTGAGATGACCTCCCAAATGGTGCTACATTAAACAAACTAAATTAAGTTATTTATTTAATTAATTAATAATTGCTACATATTTTACTTTAGCAACTTTTCATGAGATCTACTTAGCTAATCCTCTTAAGACATTTGTGAAGCCACCCAGGTGCAGATGTACTAATGTGACTGTCATCTCCGGCTAAACAAAAGCATGACCATGTAAAGTGTTATGCAGAGGAAAGCATAGCAACGGGTTTCCACTGTTTTCCGGTCGCTGCCGGCTTCTTAGCAGAGAATTTTGGCCGTGGAGCCATTTGACGCACGCCTCTAGCAATGAGAGATGCAGGAGAGAAAGCTGAAGCAATGGTGTCGCTGAAAGAAGACGAGTGCTGCGAAGTCGTGCTTGCAGGTCGGGAGCCTTGTGCTTGCTTGTTGCTTGTGTGAGGGGCAGCACTCGTGACGGCAAGCTTTTCCTCCAAATGCTTGTCTGTTGAAAGCTGCTCAGCTGATCTTGTGCTTTGAGTGGTGAAATTTGGGACACTTACCGACTTTGGAGCCTTAGCAGGAGCCTCTGCCTTGCTTTGGCCAGCAGGTTCAGAGGGATTATAAGGAGAATAGGAAGAGTCGGCTCTTTGCTTAAGGCTTTTGGTAACTTCAAACTTTGACACGGGAGTTGGTTTAGGACTGGGGCTTTTAGCCTCAGAGGCTGCATCATAAGTGAACAGAGATGAGTCCAATTGGTATGGCTGATGTTTCATGATATCTAAGGCGTTGAGTTGCTTGGGGGTTGACTTAGGTTTCTCTTTGGACTTGGGCTTGGTTTTGGGGCTTGTGGAAGGGGGCTGCTTGGCTGCTGATGGAGGGTAGAAAGGAGACAGAAGAGGATTATATGACAGGGGGGGTGGGGCACGAATATTGGATGAATATCTCCAAGAGTTAGGAAGAGATGAGGTTGGAGAGGGGGATCTTGTTTTATTCGCTTGCACTGTTTCATCATCAATAACAAACTTCTCCATGCGAGACTGTCTTTTAGCAAATAATTTTGCACCTTTCCCTGCCATAGTTGTCCCATCAGCAGCCTGATTAACACTCCTGTCTGGGACTCTGAGCTTTGGAGAAACCTCCAAAGGTTTTGGTGTCTGAAGGTATGACTTCTCTGCTTGTGGTAGGAAAGGAGCAACCAAGTTTGGAGAACTGTCTGACTTATTCTTTGAGTGTGAAAGTGGGCTATAAGTAGGACTGTGGGCCTGCTTACTCACAGGGGATAGTGACGGCTGTTGACTCCAGCTATTTGTGGTTGGATGAAGATGAAGCTGAGAAGAGTTGACCGGAACCCGGGCATTGGCAGGTGTTTGAAGTGATGCCTCCGTTTGATCTGATGCCCAGTGGCCAGCCATCTGTTGAGGTCGAGTCCAATCTTGCTGCTGTAAATAATGCTGACCATGAAGACCGATGGGGCTGTGGGAGGGATGGGACACCGGACTCCTTGAAGGAACATAGGACTCGCTACAGGGGTTCCAGGGTGGGCATGCTGGGTTAATGGTGGGTTTGGGGGGAACCGGGGGAGGATTTTTAAGTTTTATTGGTTTGGGTTGCATAAAATTACAAGCCTCGGCACCCAAACTGAAAAAGTCTTCCTCTGACTCAATATAAGACTTCCTTTCACCTTTGCTTTGGCTATAAAGTTCAGATTCTTTTGCAGGCACTGATGGATGCTTATTTGCAGTTTTCCGCTTTGACTCTGGTAATATGCCAGTCCTGATGGCAGGCACGGATATTCGTTCATCTCTCGAGGCAATAATGTCTCCAGTTGGAGACCAAACCTTGGGGTTGGAGTTAATCGATACAGGGACTTTGAATGCTAGTTCGTGCTTCTTCATGGCTGGACTGACCCCACCAGACATAGTGACAGGTTCAAGTGTTGGACTATCTTGAAATCCCAAAAAGGGTTTGGCAGTTCTGTTTGGCACCATGGGTTTTGGCACAGTGGAGAGGTGGTTCACCTCTTGAACATCTGCGTGGTAATCCATGTGCTTCTTCACATTGGTCTCCTCGGCATGCATGTACATTTCTTTACTTTCATAAATTCTTGCACGTTGTGTTTCTTTCAAAACATCCTCAGGAAAGCCTTCACTCCTCTCTTCTTCTTGCTCTGACACGAGTTCATCGATTCTTTTGCGACGCTGTTCAAACATCACAAGTCCCTTCCCCTTTGTCTCTGGCAGCACATCCATGTCTTCACCACTGCCCCAGGTCAGAGCTGGATTATGGTACTGGTGATGCTGAAAATACTGCTCCTCAAAATCAGAATCACTCGAACCCGGGAAGCTGTAACCAGCAGATCTAGCTTTGTCAGTTTCGCCCTCTATTTGACCTGAGCTATCAAAAGCGTGAACTCCAGTTCCGTAGCTCACAAGAGTGTACTTCTTCACCCTCTGGCGGCGTTTTTTAAAGAGCAACGCTCCCTTGTTTTGGGGGTTGGGTGCATTGACCAGGAGTTGGGCAATTTGCTTGCATTTAGACTTGGTCTCCTTCACGTGTCTCTCTGATTGGGTCTCTTTGTGACTGAGCCCTGAGATGAAGAGCAGGAAGGGGACAAAAAGAGAGAGAAGGGAAGACAATGAGAAAATCAAAATGTACAAATATACACATCAGTCAGCAATACCATTATGACCATCGTTGACACTCCCACTGGTTTGAGGTGATGTAGCAACAAGCTATGAATTACGACATCCATCTATCATAACCAGTGTTTCTTTCTTCGAGATACATTAGCACATCTGGTGGGTCGGAGCTCATGGGGCAACCTTTGTGAATCATATGGTTATGAATGATCTGCTGGTTGTTGGTTCACCACTGCTGCATCCTTAGACTAGGTGAGATAGACACTGACCACTACAGATCTTAAACTTGCTCAAATCATTACGCTTTCCCATTCAAAAAATCTCATTTTTTTGAAGAGATTTTTAAAACATAATAAAAATATCCCACCCCTAAACAGTAGCCATAATTTCTATATAGTAGGTGTTTCTAAATTTATTTGTCAGTATTCATAATGTTATGCCTAATTGTTGTACACAATACTTTTGGCAAAAAAAAAAAAAAAAAAAAAAAAACATCATCTTGGAATTTATTGAGTCAGTCACCACATTAAAATTAACAGGAGTTGATGGGTTTCTGCTCAATTGCAGAGTTTTGAATTTTTTTGTGGTATTAATATTTAAAGTGAGCATTACAAAAAGAATCCATTTCATCTTTCTATGCTGTAGCAAGGACACTAATAAAAGCATCATATTTACTTACAGCTAACCCATGAGGGATCCAAAGGCAAGGAAAGTGAGGGGCTCACTTTCCATTGCCGTCAAGTATTACGACTGGAAAAGGGATCGGGTGGCTGGGTAACACATGGTGGTGTCCGTCAAATTTGGTTCTGCCAGCCTCATCATATGGTCAAATTTTATTCTTGTCCTGCGCAGACTAATAAAGCTGTGGGAATCCTCCCCCACTAAGCCCACCTGAAATAGATCCCATGTAAGAGCATGAAAATAGCTGCACCCATTGTGCTACTTTCAAGTTATCGGCAAAACAAAATCTTTTTTTGCACATTTGTAGTAAATGCAGACAGAAAAAAAAGCGCAAATTTGTTTGGTCAGATGTTATTTTAAAATGATCTACTGTACTCGAAGCAAACATAAAGCAGCACGTCATCTTCTTTTTATTAATTACAAACACTCATTTCAATGTCGAAAGGCAATTTCAATCCATGCTTTGCAATGTGGATGGCTAGAAAAATGGTTGAAATTCAATTAGCAGGATAGAAAAATAGATACTTACGTGTGTACCTTGCCCTTTGCCTGTCCGGTCTGCAGAGATCTCTGTCAGACCCCAAGTTCCTCGTCTCTGCCTGCTCAGCACCCTCGTCAGAAATTCCAAAGAAGACAGAAGCAGGAGGTGCTTCGCTGCTCCCTCCTTCCTCTGAAGATTCAAAGCTCCTGATCTCAGTCCTTGGGCCATGCCCATCACTGGCCCCCAGGGGCCGTTCTGAGCTCAGGGTCAGGGCCTTGGTCATATCAGCAGCACAGCCAAGAGAGGAGGAGGAGGAAGAGCAGGAATGCTGCCACGACTTGGAATCTGGGCACTCTGGGGGTGAGGTCGCTGTTGTTTGCGAAGCTTCGATGTAAGGAGAGTCTGTCATAGATTCTCTTGATTCAGAAAAATAAAAATCATAATTTTCTTGATAGAAAACTGACTCTTCCTGCTCACTCTGTTCCAGGAGAGATTCTGGACCATCTGCAGATTCTCTGTGTTGCAACTGAAGGCACTCTGGAGACTGGGACGAGGGGATATGAGTATTTTGTGAGCCTGAGAGGTCCTCTGATTCACTATCATCATCTTCATTATAGGACTCGGCCAAATGCTCAGAGGGACAAAGTTCCTGGGAACCTTCTGAACCTGACCAGAGAGGGCTGTGTGCAGAGTCTTCAGCTTGTGGTTCCATCTCTTGTGCTGGTTTACAATGTCAGACGTCTTTTTCCTTCATCAAGACAAAGATATGTCTAAGTTAACATGAGATAACCTTCTCACATGAAGTGTGGATTGTCATTTACAAATATAACTTTGAACAGTGCAAATTGTGGCAGCATCATAGAGGGCAGATGCATGTAATTCATAGCAAACTCCAAAATCCCAAAGTAACTTAGAAACTATATCAAATGATAAACAACAGAAGGATTATTCAACTGCAGAATTATTCCAGTAGAATGCAGATAAACCAAAATCATTTACATACTCAGTTTTCACCAGGGGAGAATTGTGTTGCCCTTTTAGCATTGCATACAAAAAATGTAATTCCTCAAATTATTCCAGTCCCAAATTGGAAAGGGCAACTTTGGTCTGGCAGTTTCATCAGGGCTGTAAATGGAATGGTATGTAATACCAGGAGAGGGAAAGCAGCATTCATGTCCAAGAGTATAAGCAAAACAACTGGGTGGCTGTTTCCCCAACTCTTGTTTACACAGCAAGGTTCCCCCCCCCCCCCCCCCCCCCCCCCGTTCCCCTTTTTCTCTGCAACTAGCCTCTGTACTGCTGCAGCTGTCAGCATGCCCATTTAAGACGCGGTAGAAACTCTGCGACTTTTCTGCATTATCCTCGTTTACTCAAATAAGCCCTGATTTGCACATGAATACATTTTAATTGTTAATTGCTAAATATAGGCTTAAACCACTGTCAAACATCTAACATAATAAAGGAGTGCAAATGCAATGATATGAACCTGAAATTGCTACCTGAAATTTGAACAGTGAAAGGTACAGTCTCGTCTTCGGCGGTGATGTTTTTAAGCTGTTCAAACTGTTTTTACCCACAAAAATAGAATCAACCAGAGGGGGGCGCTACAGCACTACAAAATGTTATGTTCGTCTCTTTGCTCATCAGACTTTTACACCGTCGTAATCCAACACAAAAGCTTATTTAGTGCCATCAGGTATATTCGATATGCGCATTAAATCGAGAAAAAATTGTTACCGGTTACCAATGACAATTTGTCAATCATATAGTGATAAGGAGCACAATTTTCTCACAAGAATATGTTTGCTGTATGCAGGGAAGTGTTTAAGGCTTTTTAAAAATTAAAAAAAAAGAAGAATTTCCATGTTTTTGTGCAATCAAACATACTTCTTGTTTTAAAGAAAAGCTACATGCAACAAAGAAAAAAGATTTCCAAAACCTTAAAACGACCCAATTATATTTCGAAGAGGGTGCTTGATATTAACTTGGCATGTATGCCACCAATGTATTCATTATATGCAAATAAATCAAAATGAATGAATCCATAGAAAAGGTGGAGAGAAACAGGGACTATGTATTGAATACATGACAAAAAGAAAGTGCAAGAAAGCATAAAAAGCTAAGAAAAGCAATAATTTGTCAGCATTCAGAAAGGTGCATCAGTGACAACAATATGAACAAGTTTACTCCTGAAAGTTATTCTTTTATGAATGTTGCAACCTTATTGTTGCAAAGAATGCTGGTGGCAATCATTCCAAGCATATCTTGCAGTGTTCCAGCGAGCAACATTACAGAAACAATCCAGAAATGGAAAAAAAACATCATTTCAAAACCAGCCACAACCAGATGATCTTTGCAAGATTTCTGACAGCAGGATCAAAAGAAGAGTCAGAAGAGCAGCTGTGAACCATTTACAGAAAGGTTTAGACAAAAAAAAAAAAAAACTTAACCATCAAAGCTTCTATGCATTGTCAATGCACAAGACTGCAATCTTAAAGAAAACGTATATTCCAGCTTTTGGGTGGAACTTTTAACACAGAAGTTTAACTATTTGGACATAGACATCCTGTTTGAAGAAGATACATGAGCCTCTTTTCTCTATACATGAGACATTTTCACGACAAAAAAGTTTTTTCTACTTTTACATTAAGTTCAGTGATCACTCTCAGGACTTTCCTACTGAGCTATTTCATTGTTCTATATGTAATTTATGGACTTGTTTGTTGCACATCAACTGCACCATTAAAAAATATATCTACAAAAAAAGTTGACTTGTTCTATAGTTATATATGCTGTCTGTGGCATTACATAAAGCTAAGCCCTTTTTGAACCCTGGCCAAGATTCAAAGGAAAACTGTCCCCTCCAAGCTTCTCTTCACACTTGGTTCCACTTCATTTAAACTCTTGGCCAACATCAGATCTGGCTCTGGTGCTACAAGACTTTCTTTCTCCTAGTATGGCTAAAACACCAGCAGGCTGAACCGCTGTCATGGAAACAGAGGGTCAGTATTGCTGGTGAATGAGACGACTCTTGGTCGGGGGTGGGGGGGTCAGGGAAGGTGACCCATAAGGCTAAGCTAAAGAAGAGTCAATGTTTCCATGTTACCCAAAATTAAGGGCACATTTTGATGAAGAACAACAACAAGTTTTTGAGGTATTCTACCACACTGCAGGCCTTAAAACAGCTAAAATATGCATTTTGCAGTTCCACTGAGTATATTTCAACATCTTTTAGAAAGTTTAAATTGCCAGAAAATTACATAAAAAAATTCTTCTGTCTTTCAGTAAAAAAAATGTTAAATATCACAAAACATGGCACAATACTGATTACTACTGCAAGCACTTAGGCAACTCAAAGATATGCAACTCACACTAATCAATGTATACTAAGGTCAAGCTTAATTTTCAAGTACACAACAACAAATCAGACAACAGTATTTGGACTTAGTACTTACGGTTATTATTCTTGGTGCAATGAAACGATTGACCAAAAGGTGAACCCTTCAGTTGCCATCCAGCATCACAGCCCTTCTGCTGTACAGAAACATATTACAGCCTTGGTCACTCATGTATGCAGCAGTATTTAAGCAGGGGGAAGAAAAGGTGCCCCTGCCTTCACCTCCCACTCCCAATCCCAGAACTGCAGCAGTCAGGTGTCATCAGACATGGAGATACTCCTGGCCATCTGAAAAGCCCATTTGATTTGATTTCCTTTCTAAAGTAACGTGGAAGTAAAAATATTAACATTTTGTATACATCTCTCTCACCAATTCTTTAGCTTATTTGCAAAAAATATTCATATCCCTGGAGCTTTTTGGGTTTTTGTCACATTTCAATCAAACAACAATGTATTTTGTGTCTCTGCATGATATAAAGCAGTACATAATTGTGACAATGGAGGTCAAATTATATGTGGTTACATTTTTTTTAAAAGTAAAACTCTGAAAAGAATTTGTTTCCAATGCCCTTACTTCAATATCCCTAAATAATATCAAGTGCAATTCCAGTCGGCAGACACATAATTAGTAAATAAAATCCAATTTAATGTGCACTTTCATCTCAGTGTAAATGCAGCTGTTATGTGAAGGAATCAGAGGTTTATTAGAGAACGTTTGTGAATAAACAGCATCATGAAGACCAAGGAACACAACAGGTCAGGGATAAAACAGTGAAGACGTTTGAAGCAGGATTAGGTTATAAATAAAAACATCATGAGTTGTGAATATTGTACAGATTACCATTTAGTTCATCATCTGAAAATAGAAAGAGCATGGCACAGCTGAATAGCTACCAAGTCATGGTAATTCACCAGATTGAGTGAATGGTTTATTGAAACCCTGCACTATTATTTGAATGGTCCAGTCAAAGTCTAGACCTAAATCCACTCAATAACTTTGAATTTTAAAACTTTAAATTTTGATTTAGCTACTCTGCAAAGAACAATAAAATAAATATCTGTCTGAAAATGAACAAAGCTGTAGATAGTTTACACCTATTACTGCAACAGAAGATGGTCCCAAATCAACCCGTACTGCCATGCGGGTCTGGCTTACAAAGGAACATCGCATCTGTCATTTCCTTTCTGCTTCACAATTATAAATTACTCTCTTTTGGTCTATCACATAAAATCCCTATAATAAACAACAAAGTATGTGGCTGTTGTGCAAGCAACAACAAGTTTACAGACTTGAGACAATGCAAGAACCTTTGTTTCACTTTTTAGTAATGCACAGCCAATACAATCACAACACAAGAGAACCACCTAACCCATGCTAAAAACATACACAAACCAAAATACCCCTCCCCCCCTTTTAGATTTCTTTACATGACCCTATCTGTAATTGTTGTATCAACCAGCAGAGGTCGCATGTGCTTCAAATTTGAATACATGTATACATTTCCAGACAAGAACTCTGTGTAACATCTTGTTCAGATTGTAAAAGTAAGGCTTATTTTCTCTTTATTTGTGATAAATCAGTGAATAATTATGAAAAAGTTTTGACATGGTTAATGAGACCTTGCTTTTTAAAGTTTCTGTCTGGACGACTTGCTGCCGTCGCATATAAATTCCCCTCACAGATTCTTAATGGGAACAAGATGTGGACTCAAATTGTTTAACAGTGTCTTTCTGTTAAATATTTGCCTGTAATCAGCTGTGCTTTTATTTTCAAGATATCTTACTGGAAAGTATCCGTCTGTCATACAGATATGCTGTATGCTTTTTAATATTTAAGCTCCATAATGAAACTGTTTTGCTGCACGCCTGTCAAGATGGTCTAATCACAAAAGTTTAATATTTTCTGGTTTGAAAAAGATTTTAAAAAGGAGTTTATGTTTGCTACAAAATAACTTTTATTTTGGTGGCAAAAAATGTTTTAACCAGATATCTGTAATGATTAACAATGCGCTCCTAACTGTGTCTTTTCTCTCTGTGTCTTCTCACTTTGCTTCACTTTCACCATATGTCTCCTCATTGACGTCTGATCCGCAGCAAAATGAAATTTGACAACTTACTTTCTGAAATTAACGGATTTGGAAAATTCCAAGTCAAGCTGTTCTTGATTCAGATGCTCTCTCGAATCACTCTGCCGTGCCATTTTCTGCTAAACAACTTTATGGGCGCTGTGCCCCCTCACCACTGCAACATCAGCACCCTGGAAGATGGAGGCATCTTTGGAAATTTGACTCCCCACCAGAAGCTGTTGGTTTCCATTCCAACGGAGCAAGATGGGACTCTTAGCTCATGTCAGATGTTTGCAAAGCCCCGATATGAGTATCTATCAGGCAACCGCAGTGAGGAGGCGTCCATTGTTGAGTGTCAGAGTGGATGGGTCTATGACAACAGCACCTTTAAATCTACCTTGGTAACTGAGGTAAGTGTTGTAGAAAAAGGTATTAGATCAAACATACAGACATATTCTATCTACATAAATCCTGAAGTTGATTTTTTTTTATTATTATTTTTTAAAACTGACCAGATTGTCCTTTGCAGTGGGATCTTGTCTGCAGCAGAAAAGGGATGAACAAAGCAACAGCAACAATTTTCTTTATCGGTGTCATGATTGGAGCCCCGCTCTTTGGGTTTCTCAGTGACAGGTAAGGATTTAAATACAAATACTGTATAATATGTAGTGCAGATGAGTCACTGTGCAAAAGGTTAAAACAAAAGCATCATATTTGCTCAAGTATATTCACTAAAATGTGTGTAATGCTACAACATAACACTGATAAGTAAAGTTAAGATGAATGAGAGAATTATGGGAGCTTTAGCTCAGTTAGAAAAGTTTGTTGTAAAGTTAGACAATAACTGTGGGGTTTTAAGTCAGTACAATTTTTTACCTTCTGAACATCTTGTAACTCTAAACTGATGTCCGTCATGACCAGGTTTGGGCGGCGACGACTGCTGCTGGCGGCTTACATATCCTCCTTGGCGTTTGCAGTTCTGAGTGCATTCTCCACATCTTATGTAATGTTCACCATCATGAGATTGTTCACAGGAATGTCCCTTGCAGGGATAAGCATTATCGCCATTGCTTTAAGTAAGAGAGACATTTCAACTGTGCTTCTTCTCCGTTGTTTATGTTACGTGCATTTTCATCTTCTGATCTGACTTTTCGTCCATGCCATTGCTACCGCAGATGTTGAATGGTGCAGCATTGAGCGCAGGACTTTCTCAAGTGTAATCATAAGTCTGGACTGGACCCTTGGGAACTGGCTTTTGACAGGGATTGCTTTCTTTGTGAGGGACTGGAGGATGCTCCTTGTGGTTGTTACTTCGCCACTGATTTTGGCCATCTTTACTTGGCGGTAATGAAGTTAAATCTTATTACTGAAAGATTCAAATTCTGTTGATGAAATAATGAAGTATGTCATTCCAGGTGGCTCCCGGAGTCTGCTAGGTGGCTTTTGGCAAAGAAAAATGCAGAAGCTGCGCATCATTACATTGCAAAATGCGCTGAGACAAACAACAGGTCCAAGTGTATCGCTACCATCACGCCAAAGGTGTTGTGCCTTGGCACAATATTCAGATCTCTTGAAGTCTTTTATTTTGCAGTCATATGATGCGTAACAGTGCAATGAAAGAAAAAAAACAATGACAAAGGGTTTTTAAAACATAAAATTAAACCCTGAATAGTGTGGTGTCCATTTATATTCAACTCCCTTTATCTGTTAACCTAAACTATGAAACAATTTTCTGTACTGACAGTCTTACAAGTAGATTATTTTAAAATGTCTTCATTTGAGCTCTCTGACTTTGCTCTATTTTTATGTTTTCGTCAAAGACATTACTGGAATCTGCAGAAGTTGATACTGGAGATAAGAAGTACACTGTTGTTGATCTGTTCAGGACCCCAAATATAAGAAAAGTTGCGATATGCTCAGGGATCGTATGGTATGTATTATTTTAAAGTGAATGGTTCAGTACTTTTTAAAGTGGTAACTTGGTAACAGAAACTTTTATGTTTGAGTGGCAATTGTTAACATGGTGCTGCAGAAGAAGAAGAAAACACGAGGGGAAACACCTTACCTGTTTTAAGGTTCATGCTGTGTTTTCACAGTTACTGGTCTTTCTGGAAAGTGTTAAAACGCTTAAAGTAAACAAATATTTTATTGGATAATTTTACACTGAAATTTAACAAAATAGAGCATTTTATATGAAAATATTGAGTCGTGACATATCAGTATAATTTTCATAATAGCATATCAGCAGATGCCCAAAGGACAGGCCAATCAATCCAAACCACATCAACTGTGTTGCTATCTACAGGTTTGCCAGCTGCTAACGGATGTATCAACACTGCTGGTGTATTGCAACAAGTTGTCAGGCTACAGTATAATTAGTCTCTGTGGAAGATAGCACCAAAATATTAATGTTATGTTTCAGATGTCTTTGTTTTTCATGAGTTTCAGAAAACTCAGAGAAAACAACAAAGGAAACAAATTTGGGTTTAACTACTCGTTCACAAAGTTTCTGATTGCCTTAGCTTTGAGTTCCACTTATAAAGACAGAAAGTGGGAATAGCAAAAAAAAGTGCTTAAAGTCAAAAAAAATTGTCTTCTAGGTATGGAGTTGCATTTACCTATTATGGAATAAGTCTAAACATTACAGGGTTTGGACTAAATCCATTCCTCACACAATTCATCTTCGCTTCAATCGAAATGCCGATGAAGATTGGCGTCTATTTCTCCTTGGAGAAAATTGGTCGAAGGCGCTGTGAGATGGCAGCCCTGCTGTCTGTGGGAGTCTGTCTATTCACCAATATTTTTGTTTCAAAAGGTACTTTTTTTTATTTATTTAAAACTGTCACGTTTGGTTAGAAATACATTCCTAAGTAATAAGATTGTCCTTCGCTTTCAGATGTTTTGTAGCACATCTAATCACTGTGGACTTTTCCCCAGATAAGTGGATTATTCGGACCATTGTGGCCGTCCTGGGAAAATCCATGTCAGAGGCTTCATTCACCATAATATTCCTTTACACAATTGAACTTTATCCTACAGTAGTGCGGTCAGTGGAACATATATACTTATGTTTATTAAGGATGTTTGATTTTGTTGTGATCGGAAGGTTCCCAATAACCTTTTTGTCCTTTTCCAGGCAAAATGGTCTAGGCTACACCTCGTTTGTGGCACGGCTGGGCGTGTCCATCTCCCCGCTTGTTATGCTGTTGGAAGACGTGTGGCAGTTCCTCCCCGCCGCCACTTACTGTGCTGTGGCGGTTAGCTCCGGTTTGGTTGCTTCACTCCTGCCTGAAACATTAAACACCCAGCTGCCAGAGTTCATAGAAGACATTGAGAAACCCAGGTAAAAAGGAAGAGGCGTTTCAAGGGAACATTATGTGTAATCCAATATCAAATATACAGCAAAGGTTTAGTTATTTACAGAGCCTCCGAGTACAAAGGTACAATTTAAGCGCATTGCATAAACACAGCACATTTTTTAATGCCTTTGGAAATTTTTGCTCTTTTTCTCTTTTTTTGAAGGATATGTGTAAGGAGAAATAAGTGAGTTTTATTTGTATTGCAGGAACAAGTCAACACGGAAGATGGTCATTCAGTAAAAAGGAGAAACGACCAGTAACAGAATATTTTTAACAGCAAAACTGATTTTGAAACAAGAAAGCCAAAAGAGAAAACATTATCCTTGACTATTTACTATTCTCATCCTCCTGGAATCTGACTTTGGACTTTGACACTGTATCCCATGAAATTCATGAAATTAACTTCTATTGGCATCACTGGCACACCACTAAACTGGTCTAAACAGTGTTCCTCTGACACATAGGTTTATTCACGTCAATGCAAGCTAAACCTTTCAGATGTCGGACATGTAGTCTTCACTCTCCTCCATAAATCATCTGTAATCTTATTGCATGAATTATCATCAAATCCCAATTTAAAATCATTTGTTTACATTTCCTCTTAATTCATGTAAAGCACTTTGAATTGCCTTGTTGCTGAAAATGTGCTACATAATAAAATGACCTTACCTATAATAAAACAATTACTGTAATGTCATCTTGTCTCTTTGTGATGTTTTGGGCTTTAATTGAATAATTTTTACTTTATTGTCTCTTCTGCTTGCTCCGTGAAGTCAGTGTGTTTTGAAAAGTATATAAATAAAATATATTTTTTCATACCAATAAAATGCTTAATCTCAAAATGTATTGTCTTGTTAGTTTCTTTTTATCTGCTCAATAGTATACATAAATATGCTTAAATCAGGACACTTTATTAAGTGTCCTGTTTTAATTATGCCCACGGTGTGGAAACTTTTAACTGTGATGACTTTCAAATCACAATAAATGTGTGATACTTAATAAATCCACAAATTCTGTTGTCAGCATACTAAACATTATTTCCATATGTGACTTTTAATTAAAATAACACTTGAAAAGTTTATTAACTTTAAAAATGACAAGTGTGAATTACAGTTTAAGACTGTAAAATGTAAAACATGCAATCACATCAGTGCACACAACATAATCCTCTTTATATGGATTGGCCTGGATTACAAGTTCAGTCATTAGAGTTCTAAGGAAATCAGCAAAGAGTTTATTGCAATTTTAGTTCAAGAGACACCGGAAAGTAAAAGAGTATTAAATGACAAATTGCACCAAAACAACGCTTTGTTTTCAGGTTTTATTCAAATAAATGGAAGATATGCAATATTATGACAGATTTCAATAACAGACCCATAATGTCCTGTTTGTGATACTAATGAATTGCAGCATCTGTTACACAAGGAATATTTTCTCACTGTGCTTTTCAGTGAGAAAAGCACAATACATGAGGAAACTCTAAGGAACTCAGTGCATGTCTGAACGTTGTAGATTTACTCATCTGAAATCTTTGCACTAATTCCTAAACAACTGTAAATTCTAAAGCAAATGTAAACATTGGTATATATTGTTCTGCTATGTTTGCCACAGTATGCCAACAGAACATAAACTTTTTCAAAAAGAATCTTACTTATTTTTTCCAATACTTTTTTAAAATTTTTTATTTACGTTCAGTGTCAATGTCCTTTTGACATAAACCCCAGGAGCAGGGTGTGATAAACTCACTACACCACATTACGTGATACTATAAAATCTTTATGACAGTGATTCTAAACATCAATTGTTTCTGCAGAGTCATAGTTGGTATCTTCTGTCCCAGTTATTTCTGTAACTAACACCTGAAGGATCCAGAAACACTAACAGCCAAGTCCTTCGGTTTCACAGAACAGAGATCCTAGATCATTTACTCAAGAACACCAATGAACGCCAATGAACGCCTATGGTTTTGCTGACAGGTGTGGGTTAATCAAACCAAGGAACACTTCAAGAACTGTCTGACGAAAAAAAGTTATTTATTGAAAAACAATAGTTACATGACAAGCTCTCGTGAGCAGAGCTGTATGTCCATTAACCAGAGGTCTGTAACAGAGACAAAAAAAAAAAAAAAAGATGCGCTTTTCAGTTCCCTGCCTCCTGTGTGGTGCTTTCCTCCACTCTCCAGCACTACATCATCTGTCAGCAAGATGAAGTTTGAGAATGTGCTTGCAGAGGTTAATGGTTTTGGCAGATTTCAGATTAGGACACTTCTCTTGCTGGTCATTCCTCGTATGACTTTGCCATTTCACTTCCTGCTTAACAACTTCATCTCGGTGATTCCTTCTCACCGCTGCAACATCAGGGCGTTAGACGATGGAGAAATATTTAGGAATTTATCTCTTGAAGACAAGCTCGTTGCCAGTATTCCTTTACAGAGTGATGGGAGCCCGAGCTCGTGTCAGATGTTTGCGGAGCCTCAGTACCACCTGCTGTATAACTCTACCAACTCCACTGATCTACCTACGATTCCATGCCAGGACGGGTGGGTTTATGACAACAGCGTCTTTAAATCGACTCTCGCCACCGAGGTAAGCTTTGTCTGTACATTTTTTTCCGTTATCATGAATTTGTGGTTTATCCCTTAACCCTGTTATCTGTGTTTGGTTTTAGTGGGACCTGGTTTGTGATAAGAGAAGTGTGAACAGAGTCACAGCCACCATCTTCTTCATGGGGGTTATGCTTGGAGCAGCGGTTTTTGGCTATCTCAGTGACAGGTGTGGATATTCCTCACATGTTTCCAGTCAGTTGGTTTATATCTGTATTTAAAACATTCAGGAAAGTTTTAAATTATGACAAAATCAGAAGCGCTAAATGATATTGCTAAAGTAGAAGATCATATGTTCATTTATATAAACATCAGTGCTGGCATATAGTGTCAGATCACTTCGTTTGATCACTTAGAAACATTTGCATAAACAGAAATAATTAAAAAATAATGGGGGTGGGGGGTTAACGCTGTATTTTCTTCCTGTGCATGTGTGGGTTCCTTTTGGGCCCTTTGCCTGTGTCCTACATTAAGATTCTCTTTCGGAGTGAGGATGTGCATGTATGGTTGTTTGTCCTCTGGATCTAAATTTTGCTCTGTATACAATAAGTTGTGACTACAATCATTTATAACAGACTGCAGTCTATTTTTTGCATTTTAAATAGTCTTATTTATTCAATAATTATATTCATTTTCACAGGTTTGGCCGGAAGGGAACCCTTCTGGTGTCCTACATAATGACCACCATCTTTGGTTTTGCAAGTGCTTTCTCTTATAATTTCAACATGTTTGCTGCCATGAGATTTTTCACTGGATTTGGGATTTCTGGAATCAGTATAATCTCCATTGTTCTATGTAAGTTGTCTGTCACCACATCAAAAAATGTGGGTTCTGTAGGTTTGAACTGATGACCACTTGCAATCTTTTGCTCACATCCCAAAACTCATGACCACAGTTGAAGGTAGGAATGTAGAGCGACCGGTAAATAGAGAGCTTTGCCTTTTTTCTTCACTTTCTCTTCACGATATACTGCAGATGTCAGACTACCGATCTCCTGCCTAAATTTCCCCCCTCATTTGTGAACAATACCTAGAGATACTCAAACTCCTCCAGCTGGTTGTAGGACTTCATTACTTTGTAATGAAGAGGGCATTCTACATTTTTCCAGTTCAAGACCATGGTTTCCAAAGTTTGAGGATGGCTCTTTATTTCAAACGTGACTGCTCAGCAGTGCAAAAACCAAGCTCCATAAAATGGTGAATGAGTGAAAAAACTTGACTGACCAACATGAAGTCCTGACCTCAACCCAACAGAATAACTCTGGGATGGATTAGAAAGCAGACTTTCAACTAGGCTTTGTCATCCAACATCAGCGTCTGATCTCACAAATGTCCGTTTGGAAAACTAATAAACAGTCTGCACAAACACATTCCTAAACTTTGTTGACACTTTTCAGAGTTTAAGCTACCGTAGCTGCAAATAATGGGCCAATTCCATACTAAAGTTTTTGTATTTAAAATAGAATGCCATTAAAGTTATGTGAATAAAAGGAGGTGCTATGTTGCTGTAAATCTGATAAAATGCTTTTCCATTATTGTCTTGGTTTCCTGTCTTGGTTTATGGTGCTGTAAAGCAAAATCTTAACATTTACAACAAAAAGTTTATTTATACAGAAAATCTCGACTGTGAAATAAAATACTAAGCTCCCTTGAATGAATCTTTATTTTAGTCTGTTGATTTTATGTTCTGTTCTCTTTTAATACCTTTAATGTTCTTTTTTTGACAGGCATAGAATGGGTCGGAATCAAGCATCGCACCTTGGTGGGAGTCTTAATGAGTTTGGACTGGAGTTTTTCAACGATTCTGCTGCCCGGTGTGGCCTACTTTGTGAATGACTGGAGATACCTGACTGCCACTGTGACCAGCCCACTGCTGCCGGCTATAGTCTGTTGGCGGTAAGCAGAAACTGGTTAGATTTAAACAGTAAAAAGAAAGTAAGCATTCATTCCTGTTTGTAGAAGCAAGTGCATTTTTGAATGTTAGAAATCTTTTAGAAAGTCTTTAGAAAATCTTTTACGTTTGCGTCACACTGCCAACCGTTCTTCTTGTGCAGGTGGCTCCCAGAGTCTGCCAGATGGTTGATAAGTACTGGAAAAGTGAATAGTGCTCATTTTCACCTGACTAAGTGTGCAAAAATCAACCGCAGAGAGGAGTTCATAGCTGACCTGAAACCTGAGGTACAACAATTTCCACATTCTCTTCATGTAAAGAGGTTTTTGTTTAAATTTCTCTTTCAATTGTCTAGATTCTCTCCAAAGTAATACTTGTTGAGGATGAAAATAGAAAATACTCCTACATGGACCTTGTGAAGACTCCCAAAATGAGACGACTTGCTCTACTAACTGGCATTGTTTGGTATAAACATTTTTTTATTGTTTTTCAAACTGCGATATTACAGGGCCTAGAAAAAGCAGTGATATCTCTTTAATGTTTTTATTGTGATTTAGTACATTGGCCTTATACATCTTGAAGCTATAGAGTATTACTCTGTTCATCTTTCAAAATAGCTCCAGTCTGATCACCCTTAGTTTCATCTGTCAAAATCAGTTTTGTGGTCTTGTTAAGGATTGCTGATTTGACTTAGGTTTAAACTAAAACCCTACACACCAATAGAGAGGAAGCAGTTCAGCAGCAGCAATACAACACATGACACAAACTAGCCAATCAGAAACCAGCATTCATAAAACATTTTTTTTTTTTTTTACTAAACAAAGTTCTTGCTGTGTTTTTTTTTTTTTTTACCGGTAGGTTTGGAGTGGCCTGCGTCTATTACGGAATCAGCTTAAATGTTCCTGGGTTTGGAGTGGACATTTATCTCACGCAATTCATCTACGCCATCTCCGAAATCCCAGGAAAAATCTTCATCATTTTCTTTTTGAACAAATTAGGCCGAAGATGGACTCAGGCTGGAACACTTGGCTTCACAGGGCTGTGTTTGTTCTGCAACATTTTCGTCCCTCAGAGTAAATCAAAAATCTAAGCATGTGTTTCTCACAACCAGAAAGCTTGCAGTAGCATTTACACGTGACAAACATTTGAATTGTCAGTGACTTGAAGCGACAAGTCCTAAAACCATGAAATCATGAATTGTCAAAGTTGGAATACCTAATAAAAGTTGTTGTTTTTTTATTTCAGATATGTGGATAGCAAGGACGGCTTTTGGAGCTGCAGGCAAGATGTTTGCAGAAGCAGCTTTTACAACTGTGTTCCTGTACACAACAGAGCTCTATCCCACTGTCATGAGGTCTGAAAACATTTCACCTCTTTTTGTCTAGTCAGATACATTTTAGTATCCAGGAAAACAGATTTGCAAGCATGTTATTCTCATAAAAACAATAGTAAGAACAATATCTGTAAATAAGGACTCGAAATTAAAATGATTCTGTTTGGTTATACAGGCAAAACGGACTTGGTTTCAGCTCTTTCGCTGCTCGCACTGGTGTGTCTCTATCGCCCCTGGTGATGATTCTTGAGGACATCAAGTCTTACCTACCAAATATAATTTTCATCTTGGTGGCTTGCATTGCATCTGTGTCAACTTCTTTTCTTCCCGAGACACTAAACGTCCGTCTCCCAGAGACCATCGAAGACATTGAACAGACAAGGTAAAATACAATAAAAATGTCTGTTTTTAGCAAAACCTCAAAACGAAAGCTTTGTGAAAACGTATTTTGTTTTGCAGAAGACGATCAATACCGACATCCGATGAGAACGCGACTCTGTGACTGCTTTTGGGCATGAAAAACAAATTGGTCGATTTCCACTGGAGAATAATTGTCTACAATGTTAATCTGCTAGACAAACCCTACTCTGTTGTTTGATGAAATGCTTTGATGTCGTGAGCAGAACATGTTTGTGTCTGACACCGATTAGAGACAGTTAAATATCCATCAGTCTGATGCTAAAATTAAGTGATTGTCATGTAAATCCTTGAAGAATCTACAACTTTAAAATAAAATTACACACTAAATGGTGTACATCAGTGTCGTGACTGTGTCCTCTTAAACTTATTCACCGACAACGTTGAGGCTGCTGCAGCCTCCTGATGGGAAAATAGTTAGTCCCATCAGGAAAGTGTCCATGTTTATAAGGGCTTGTTAAAATCTGATCAGACTGTGCCAACGACAATTCCTTGCATTACAATCCATCGTCAGTGGTCAGATGTCAGCTTCTTCTTTACATGAAAATAAATATGTACCCGTGTCACACAGTGGGCTGTCATTAGAGCCATCACCAGGTCTGCTGTTGTTTTTTGTAACATCAGATGCAATAAATTACTTAAACTTTTTAATATAAAGGCAGAAGTTCATCAGAGTCACATTTTTGTGGAGTTACTTCAGCTATGGGTTTAAGGCTTGCCTGTGTAGTTTAACAGACAGGACAGCTACCCCATCATACAAAGTGATTCTGTACTCTGAATTAGTAATTTTATCATCAATAGATAAATTACCTACATATCTGAGAGAAATTCACAGCAACCTGACCCACTGATGATAAAATCCCAAATAATGAGAAAATCTCTTTTTTTTATACTCTGGAGAATTTCAATGAGTAAACATTTTAAAGGGGGAAAGGAAGCAGTCTTTAATTAATGGCTGTAAAGCTGTTTTAATAGATTAGAGGACCACTGTTTCTGTCAACACCACCTACATTTTTTTAACCTACAGCCATCCAGGTAACACTGATAGGTGGAGATAGTCTCTTCAGACGGTGGACTCTTTCACAGTGTGCATAGATGGACTGTGTTCAGACTGCCAAAGTAATGCAAGTACAAGTGTCCAGGCCACCTGTAAAGATTTTGCCATCACTGTGCCACATGCATATAACCCTGTCCAGACACTCAGATCACCCAGGACTTGACACATGCAGACATTTTTCAGCTGAGTCATATTTTGCAGCTGTAGATGCTTTGATCCTGAAGTGCTAAGCTAATGTTCACAAGTTTACTCCATTTATTTACTCTGTAATACTTATGTCAATTTACCAAAAATATATGATGATGGCCCTGCATCAAATGCTGCCAGCAACACGGCAGAGTGGAGCCGCTGAGCCAGTGCCTCTTCTGTTGATGTTTTAACACACAAAATTAAAGTCCACTTAGGTTTGAAATGAATAAAAAGTCTGCTGAAGGTGACAGACGGTCACAATTTAAAACTTGCATGTGATGAACATGGTCAGGGTCTCTTTGTTATTTTTGCTTACAACAAACACAAAAACAAGAAGACGTTTATGAGTAGTTTAAACATGAAAATGTTTGGGGCTTGCCATTTCACGGGTTGGAATTCAATCACAGAATACTGTGAAAAATAACCTGAACTGTTGGGGAAATACAGTTTTAGATTTTGACAACAACAAAGAGGCATACGAAAAGAGGCTTCAAGTTTTTAAGTAGTTCTGTTAAACTGGATTGTGTTGATTGTTGGAGACGCAGCTTACAAAATTACAGGTATTAGACCAACAGCCGCTCTGTTATACATGAATCAGTAAAGCCAGGTAATATTCAACATTTCCTTGTAAATCTAGTGATGTGCTGTATGAGCATGACTCATCACAATCCAGTACAAATCTGAAAACATAGAGTTTGCAAGCAAGATAAAGAAATGTGTTTTTAAACAATTAACTGTTCAAAAGTGCTGCTTTGTCTTTTTTTTATGTGTAGATTACACTGGCATGAAAATGACTGTCTTTTAAAGGTGACTAGACTAAACATACAACAGCAATAATATTATTATGCATTGTAATGCCACATTATGCAGATCTTACTAAAGACTCAATTTAACAGTTGATTGTTCTGCATTGTGTGTTTAATATCCTCCTGACTACCTGCCAGTAGTTCATTTTTGTCCTCTGTAGAGGACATTTCTAAATTTGAATATCTCCCACCCCCTGCATTCTACTGAATTAATTCCTTTTGGTATCTGGAGAGGACATTTAGGGCTTTTCAATGGTACCACATGTGAAGGGGTGGGACTTTTGTACGTATCTTTTTCTAATTCATAAAAATTGCGTTCATCAGTTATAACACATTTTATGGGAAGAGACAAAGTAAGTGCATAAAACTTTTTATTACCTTACAAAGAATGTAGGATTTAAAAAAAAATGGTGATTGGACAATATTTTTTGTCCTGGTAGTCAGGAGGATACCCTAATTACTTGCTGAATGTTTTTAAATAAATTCTGATTTTAGGGTAAATTCAAATTCTCATAAAAGAAAATCTGAAAGAAATGTGAGATAAAAGTATTGAAGAAAACATTTTGAAAAATTTAATGAAGTCTAATCAAGACAAGTAAGTAAGACATGTTGGTGTTTAAAACTGAAGCAAAGACTTGTTTAAACAGTCCCACAAATTTGTGGACTTACAAACTCAAAGTTTCTTCATCAAACATCATACACTCATAAAACATTGCACATTTTCACTTTCAAAGGCTTGACATTAACTGTAAACACCATGAATAATAATCAGAAATTTGACATTTAAAAACTGAAAAAAATAAACTTTGATATTCAAATAGATTTAAATCGGCAGAGGTGCAGTACAACAGCTCAGCTTCCTCCCTTAATAACCAGCAAACAACATGATTTTTGGGCATGGAGATAAACAGGAGGAAGATAGTTCTAACTACAATCTCTCATCAGTCTTTAAAGGGAAAAAGTATTGACTTAACCATCAAAAACCTGCATGTCTCTTAAAAAGTGTAAACAAAAAGTTCACTAAATACCAAGCCATTTATGGATATGAGGTGAAATAACTGTTTTGATATGTGCTCCTCAGTGTTTTTCAAAGCTGTGGACCTGCTTTGTATCAACCCTGTATGCGTAAATCAGAGGACAAGTAAATACCTTCTCTTCAGAGGGTAACTCTCTGAGCATCTAAACTTTTACCAAATGAAGATGAGTGTCAGAGTTAATGGCAAGGTCAGGAAAGAAAAAGCAGATTTGTTTAATCTTGAAAATATTGTCATTTCAAAACACAGGCTTAACAAAACTGGACAAAAACAATCAAACGAGTATTGATTCCAACTGCAAGAGGTCGTGGTCAGATTTTGGCAGAAGTAGGGAGTGACGGTGTAATGGTATATGGATTCTTAGCACAATTTGTTACTCGTTTAAACGCCACGGCCTACTTGAGTGTTGTTGCTGCTCCATCCCTTTATGAGGCTCAGTGCATCCATCTTCTGGGAAAGCTTTTTCTACTTTTTTTTGTTTTATGAAGCTGACGATTTCACTGTGCTGCTCTGAGCTAGAGCCAACAAATCAGCAACAAGTGGAGATCTATCAAGTTAATATTGTGCAAAAATTGTAAGGAAAAAATATTCCAACACATTGTTGTTGAATCTGTGCAACAAAACATTAGCGTAATTCTGAAGACAAAAGTTGAACCTACTGCTAGTGATTTCTACCTAATGAAGTGGCCACTGAGAGTTTACCTTCAATATGCCAGAATCTTCAGTTTCTGATAAAACTGTTGTGTTTTGTCTGATCTGCGAAGTTTATGAACAAATCAACAGCAAAAGTGGTGGTCCAATTTTTCTTTCTAAATAATTCCCTTCATAAGATAACTGCAAGCTCTTCTTACATAAGGGAATGTTGACAGCAAGTTTGTAAAGTAAAATATTAACTCCCTTCACCTGTAATCTTGCAGTGGGTGGTTTCACCAAATGTCAAAGGTCGTACTCGCTTGACAGAGATTGAAAAGATTGGTGAATTTCTCAGTATACAGGCATGGGAGCTTGAGGAGTTCATCTACTTGTTTTATTGATCTTGCATGAAGACCCACCGCACTGGAGAAAGACGCAACAATGAAGTTTGAGAATGTTCTTGCTGATATTAATGGATTTGGAAAATTCCAGAAAATGATCATTGCAATCAACTTCTTGGGTCGCTTCACGCTTCCTTGCCACTTTGTGCTGAATAATTTTATCGCAGCAATACCAGCTCACCACTGTGACATCAGCTCGTTAGATGATTTTCTGAATTTATCTCAGGCAGAAAGAATTACTGTGAGTATCCCGGTCGAGACAGATGGGAGTCCCAGCTCCTGTAGGATGTTTGCGAAGCCTCAGTATCACCTGTTGCTCAACTCTTCTGATGCTACTGATGCGTCCACTGTGCCATGCCAGGATGGATGGGTGTACGACAACACAACCTTCAAATCAACAATAACCTCAGAGGTAATCCTGCAGACTTTTCTTACCTTTATCTAGATAAACACAAATATTGATATTAAAACTGACTTTTTCCCAAAAGAAGACTAATTTTTGGAGGGAATGTGCCTTTCTACTCTTGTTACATGAAGTGGGACCTTGTGTGTGACAGAAGAGCGAAAAACAAAGCAACAGCCACCATCTTCTTTGTTGGAGTAATGTTTGGAGCCATAGCCTTTGGAAGTCTAAGTGACAGGTATTACAGTTATGTAATGGAGTAATTAAACTATATATATATATATATATATATATATATATATATATATAAATTGTTTCTCTACTCCTCTCCACTACAGGTTTGGCCGCAGGATCATGCTCCTGGTGTCATATGTATCTGGCATGCTGTTTGCTGTAGCAAGCGCCTTTTCTACGACCTACGTGATGTTTGCAGTGTTGAGGTTCTTCACTGGGTTCTGCATCACTGGCATTGTCATCGTCTCATCCGCTCTCTGTAATTAATCTGCGATTATACCAAGCTAACCTGAAAAGATCTGGGAAGCTTTAGACATGGTTATGAGTAACATATGTTTTAACTCAGTCTGAAAATATTGAAAACTTGGATATTTCCTTGCAGGTGTGGAGTGGGTGGACATTGAGCACAGAAAACTGGTTGGAGTCATCGATAGTTTATCCTGGACATTTGGCAGCACAGTATTTGCAGCAATTGCTTACTTTGTGACTGACTGGCGTTGGCTCATTCTAAGTGTTACGTCGCCATTAATCTTGGCCATCATCACTTGGAGGTAAGACTTGGTGGTTTCCCACAAATACAACTTTGTATTCTGTCATGGTGGAAATAAATTACAAAAATTCAATAAAGGCTTTGATGTCAAGTGTGTTAAGTCAATGTTTCTTTATAGTATTAAAACTTTGTACTCGTACGTAAAAAAGCTAATGAAAAACGTCAGTTCATAAAATGTTTAACATAGTTGTTCCATCTGGGTGATGGGGGTGATCAAAGTTTGATTTCCTATAGGAATATATGGATTAAAACTATTTATTTTGCTAAACTCAGGTGGATGCCTGACTCAGCGAGGTGGCTCATTGCCAATGGAAAACTGGAGCAGGCTCAGACATACTTGAAGAGATGTGCCAAGATAAATCAAAGAGAAGATTTCATTCACACACTAAATGAAGAGGTTGTATTCAGCAAAACTGAAAGTTAGTCTTAATTTTAGACCATCTGTATTTTAGTGATCAGAAGTAAAAACCAATATCTGCCCCTGACATTTTTCAGACCTTATCCACGATTGTAGACAAGGAGGCAAGAGGACGAACTTATACGTACCTCGACTTGGTTCGAACACCTAAGATGAGGAAAATAGCTCTGAAAACTGGCCTCTTATGGTTTGTGCAACCTGTGCTATTTGCTTTATTATTACCAGGTCAAAATAACTTGTAACTATAAAATGCTAATTATATTTAACTGAAAATTTTTTTTGTATCTGAATACTTCTGTACCCATAGGCTTTGTATTGCTACAACATTTTACGGCATCAGCTTCAACATCGCGGGCTTTGGCTTGAATATCTACCTTACTCAATTTACCTATGCTATAATTGAGTTGCCAGCCAAGCTATCAGTTTACTATTTGCTGGATAAAATCGGCAGGCGCAGCACTGAGGTGGGAGCTTTGTTGTTATCTGCGCTCTGTCTTGGAATCAACATTGTGATGCCAAAAGGTAGGAGACTAACTGCTTCAGAAATTATCATGTAAAGAAAACCAATTAACTCTAATATATCTAGAAAAAAAAAAAGTTAACACCTCTTTCTTCGCAGATATGTCTGCGGCCAGAACAGCTGTTGCCGTTATTGGCAAGGGGTTTTCTTCAGCTTCCTTTGGAACGGTTACGCTGTACAGTTCAGAGCTGTATCCAACTGTGGTTAGGTAAATGACAACCTCTCACTTTTATGGATAACTTCAACACACAGTAATGTAGCTGCTTTGATTTCCAAAGGCATGTGAAAATACATGGTTTAAAACAATGACTTGCCGCCTCCCCTGCCCCCTTCATTTGACATTGGGCACTTTCCTGATATAAATTTAAAATGTTGAACTTGCTGTATTTCTCTGTTTATTTTTGCTAATACATATTGTCTTGCAGGCATTCAGACAGCATAAAGAGCATTGACCTTGAAAACCATTCACAGAATCAAATTGTACATTTTATCTTCATCCCAACAAGTGGCACTTCATTTCTCTATGGCTAGAGTCACATAAAAAGCTTTTAGATACTACAGGAACTAACATGACTGCAGCTATTAGGATTTTTATACATCTTAATAACCAAAGGGGACTTGAACTATTTGTTCCTGCAGAAGTAATCTCTTGAGCCTATCAGGTCTCTCCTGTTAAGAGCTGTACTTCTCTCTCTGTTGCAGGCAAAATGGAATGGGCTATAACTCCTTCATGGGTCGGTTTGGTGTTGCTGTGTCTCCTCTGATCCTGTTACTAGATGAGGTTTGGAAGGATCTTCCGCAGGTGGTCTTGTGCTCAACAGCTATACTGGGAGGACTGGTGGCAAGGACTTTGGCAGAGACACGCAACAGGTGTCTGCCAGAGACGATTGAAGACGTTGAAGAAACGCAGTTTAACACGAATCAGAAAGCGTAAATATTTTCATGGAAAATGCAAACTTAATTTTGACAGATTGATTTGTGGAAATTTGTATGCAATTGAAAGTTGATGTTTTATTATGAAAAGTTGACATTTTAAGATTAAAAGCAGGTTTTGCTTGGTAAAGCAGATGATGCCAGCTAATAAAGGAGCCTGAGTCTCAGTTCACCACTGCTTCTTAGTTTCATGTATGTCTTCACATGGCAAAGCTTTATGTTCACTGTCGGGGATTACTTTAAAACTATCAATTGAGTACAGTGCAAATATGCTAAATGAGCATATTTTTATGGCAAGCTGAATGTAGTAAATAGAAAATTTAAAAACCCAAAAAGAATTAAAATGTCATTTAATTTTTATGTAACAAAGCCAAGACGTAGTTCAAACTCCCCATCAAATCATTTTTGTCACACCAATCCTACCAAAAAGAATCTATCCACAAAAATAAAGTCAAAGCTCGTTTATTTAAGAAACAAAGCAAGCACAGATCTTTTTTTATGGCTCCAAAGGCTCCTGAATTAAATTCAACCACATCTATAAGACCTGCTCCAGATAATTTCTTTTGAAAATCATATTAAGCTGGATCTAATGACTGCTGCTGATATTTCATGTCATTACACCTACTTACAGAACCGACATTGATGGGGTAAACAAAAATAAGCAAACAAATACTAAAAATCAAAAAGCCAATGTTTGAACATTAAAGTACAATGATACCGAAAGATCTAAAACTACAGTATGCAGGTTGTTTTCCAGGATACTTCGACTATATTCAGTACTGGGTGTACTCTTTGCTCTCTAGTTTGGCAATAATTCGCTCCAGCTGTCTTTTAGCTTCACATTGTGGAAAGTTACTCATGTCATAGTACTGGGGTGCAATCTTCACCAACCTGCAACAGAGGAAAACATGAACAATCCCATCAGTAAGATGACAATTTAAACTCACTCATTGTAGTTAACCTGCGGGCATTCATGATAAACTTATCAGTGCACATACCACTCTGGTTTTATGTCTGTGCAAGTGCGAATGTAGTTCTTGGTGGTGAGAACAAATTCGTTGTAGAGCACCCACTCAGGTTTGTGGTCCAGGACTGTGGATGGGTGCAGCTGGACCACCTGGTTGTCTTTCACTGTGAGGTAATGGCCTGTGCGCTCCAAATGAGCCACCTGAAAGGAGAACAAGTACTATTAATATTACAATATTAAAAAAAAAAGCAATAAGAGACCAAAAGTTTTATGCATCAACATCTCTGATGAAGTTATTTACACTAATAGCTGACCTGCATGAAGAAGCCGGTGCAGAGCGCTCGTCGGATATTGATGTAGTAATCTCTGCTGGTAAACTCTGTGCTTCGCCGAGGGAGACTGAAGCGGTCCATGATCCTGGACAGCTGCTGACGTACATTGTCAGCAGACATCAGTGAGCGGTAGTTGACAAAGTTGTCGTAACACCACTGGTTAGCTTCATGGTCTGGAAAAAAAGAAGGATTTGAGTCAAGATAACTGCCTTTAAAGACTTTTAAGCTTTAAATGAACCTGAACAGCAGCATTGTTTCATAGTCAAGCTGGAATGTTGTAACTTGACATATAAATTAGGGATGGAAAAATTCATAAAAAGAATATGAATGGTTTAGTTCCTTGTTTCCAGAAGACGTGTGTCCTGTTTGGGTCAGTACATGAGCAGTTATGCATGTGAGAAACTAGTGGATGTAGATCATTTGTTAGTTACAACGATTGTCCAACTGAGGCTACTATACAATCATTCTTGCTCTGACATAGTAAAAGAATAATAATGATGAAAATTCGCCAATTACCTTAAACATTTAATGCTGCAACAGAGCAAAGAAAACTGGATTTGGACTGATAGAGGTTTTAGATCTATAGTTTTCTTCCAGCTCTGACTTCTTGATTCCACTTTTGGAAAATGATGTTTGATCTCAGGACTTTATCTCGAATACAAAACCTGGTGTGTAAACTTTCATTTTGTTGAACAGCTAAACGTAACCAATTTTAATCATAAGAAATTATGCTCCAGAGAAAGTAGTTTCAATCCAACAAAAAATTAAAGGATTAAGAGATAAAAAAAAAGAAAAAGAAACACAGGTTTATCAATATATGATAAGGAAAAAACTCTCAGAAATAGCATTATATCTAAATTTTTCAGACTGTGGCTGCATTACGCCCTTTTGATCATGTTTTTTTAGGACTTCTATCTCCAAATAATTTAGTTTATGTGATGGAATCAATGGAAAAAAAAATCCCAGGAAAAAAAATTTAATTGTACATTTAACAAAATAAATTACCAGATATTTCAAGTGTTTTAATAACTACCACAAGAGGGAGACACATTTTGTGTTTTGAATGTCAATAGATGAAGTGATTCAGGTCTATATATAGCATTTTGGAAGCATGACAATTGTTCAATAAAATATGTTAAAACAAAAAGGTTCATTGTAGAACTATAACATAAGCTCCAAGTCCAGTTTAACAACTGCAACTATATCGGGAGTGAAGTCAACAGTGAAAGCTAAGACTGATATTCATAGTAGGGTAAGAGGTGGAGAGGGGAAAAGTCTTTAATGTAACCCAGGTATGTACATTAAAATCTAATATTTTTAACTCAAGTGTAATGTCATCATAAAACCATACGGTTGATAAAAGCCAAAAGGTAGACTTAAGATTCTTACTGTTCATCTCCAATTGAAGCTGAGGAATTAGGACTAAATAAACAGCAACATCTCCATCAAGATTTTACATCTACAGTTTTTAGAAGAAGATTTTAAAAAGCAAATTGACATTTTTTTGTTAATATCCAAATATTTTCTAACATGCTGTGATCCGAGACTTCTATCCTGAAATGGGCCTGACAGGTTCCTTGCAGCTTCTGTATTTTCTGGGCATCACTTAAAAACAGCAAGAAAGAAAGAAAATCATCCTAACTAACAAAGGCTTGACACTCACTTTGTTTGAAGGCGTGATAGACGTTGAGCAGCGTCAAGTGGTCTCCGTCAATGTGAGCAAATCTCATCTTGGACTCGTCCGCTGCCTTCTTAGCCTCCGTGGGACGGACAAAACACTGTGGGACTAAACAAGGTTGGTATGGGCCCCAACAAAGCCGCCCATAGGGATGAGTCAAACATTCACAGAAAAATGGAGCAAAGCCTATGATGCTAGGGCACTTGACACTGCGTTGGGACAGGGCAGGACCACACTTTATCAAAGGGGGATCTGCAGGCTTTTCTCAAGGTCATTTCCAACAGTAACGGCTATAAGCTCGTAGAGAGTTTGGGGGGCGGGGGGTCATTTAACCACATCTGTAAAACAAGAGTTTTCACACAACTATAAAGTGTTAGAAACACCAGCAATGTTTGATTTATGCAGGACTGATAGGTTTTACTTTTAAACATGTAAAGTCTTCTCCTTAACTACACATGACATTGACAAACAGTAATATATTTAATTATATACTTTAGAAAAATTCATAAGCATTAAGCAAAATCTGAAATAACATAAGTGGTGCCTGCCCTATCCAGAGGCTGTTTACACAACGCTTCAAGTAGGTAAACAAAACCTAAAATTTAAAGACCGCATCCAACACTTTCACTTAAAAAGTTGCAAAGATACTCGAGCATATACTTTAATTTTAGTAGGGTAGAGTATTTTAGTAGTGTCATGTAAATTTTATGATGTTCAATATTTTAGTAAACTAGTAATTATGACTTTTCAAAGTAACTTCACCTTACAATGTTATAAACAAGCTTCAGAATGCCTTAGATGCTGTTTTACAACTAAGGTGAACAACAAGGCTGCACGACGTAATAAAATATATCACCATCTTAAAACAACTTTGTACAACATCATGGAGGACTGTTTGAAAGTCAACAAGTGTTGGCTAAAATATTAAAAATAAAAACAGAACACAGTGTGTGCCAAGAATATATTCAAAGTGTTGGATGAATCAACTGTAGCAGCTGCACATGTCTGACTCAGATTACTTGGCCTAAGATGCTAAAAGTCCCAAAGATTGTTGGAAGCAGAGATGAAAAGAAGAATATTGGGAGAAAATGGAAATTTATCATAATGGCTTTCATTTCTTACCAATATTAATTTCCATTGCATGATTTTAGCCCAACTGGACCATGTGTTATTTATCATTTTACCATCATGTCATGTTGTAAGCTTATCGTTTTGGCAGGTTGGGGTGTTGAATGAATTACTTTATCTTCTATTATTTTCGTTTAGCTTCGACGCCACAAAGGGGAATGATCTTCAGGACCAGAAATATTTTAGCAGTAGTGAGTTGCTCTATGTTACTCACTTTCTCTGGAATTACATTCATAAAGGATTTCAACTTTAGCAGTGGATGCCAGAAACTTTACCCTGAAATACCGATTGGCCTGTACCTCGTCATAATCATTTCATAATAATCATCAACCAATCTTTAACTGGTATAAAGTCCTCAGGTGTAAATTGGAGGCAAACCTATTAGGATAATGCGAAGAAATAACATGGCTGGTTATTTCAAACGAGTGTTTTCCTTAAGGAGCTTGGCCTTTTAAAGGCCAGAAGGTGTCAGCCCAGTCCTGGGCATTACCTGACAGCATGGCAGTGATGGAGAGGATCTCATTGGAGCAGTTAAACTCGCAGCTTGCTATGACCATCTTGGCCAGCTGAGGATCCAGCGGGAATTCTGCCATCATGGAGCCAAGCTCGGTCAGGTCACCATCATCGTTGAGGGCGGCCAGGTAATTGAGAAGCTCAAGAGCCCTCATTAGCGTTTCAGGAGCTGCATTGGTGGGGAATGAGGGGTGATCAGGATCCGCAAGTCAACTGGTCAACATGACTTTTCTTCAGAATCAACCATTACTCACCTGGAGGGTCCATGAAGTCAAAGTGGACAAGGTCATCAATGCCCAACTTCTTCAACTGCAGCACAACAGATCCCAAATTGGACCGAAGAATCTCAGGGTATGTATTATCCTGGAAAAGCATAAATTTAATGGTAAGTTTATCTTGTCCATTTTTGATACTAACACACACACACACAAAAAAAATAAATAAACAAACAACATTAAACAGACCGGGAAAGCAGGAAGGGTGTGAACCAACTTCCCACTTCCCACTTCCACAGTGACTCACCTGCATCTCTGTTTTGTAGGCCTTCTCTGTATA